GTAACTTTTTGGTCATAAAGAGGCTGCTGTTCGATTAATTGAGGGTTTTCGCTAGCATAATACCGACAATTTTGTTTACATACGCCTCCATGTAACGAAAAATGTGCCTCGGCGGACATGATGATTTTTCGCTAAAAGTCATCTTCATTTTCGGCCATTTCAATGCTCCATTTAGTAATGGGTGATTTTTTTGCTAGTATCTTCTTGGCAACACTGTTTTTGACAGATGACGCGTGAATCGTGTCTTGTGTCATTGTCATTGTCAAACTTGTTCAGTTTGGTCTATAATTCAACCATGAATCGACTTACGAACGAACAACGCTTGCAAATTAATGAATTTTACTATCAAAATTCATGCTCGGTTAAGAGAGTGCATCGAGCACTGCTTCCAATGGGCAATTTGGTCGGCCTACTGAGGGAGCTATTCGGAAGCTTGTGACTAAATTTCGAACCCAGTTTACATTATTGGACATTAAACCACCAACGCGCAGATGTAGAGTGAGGACTGAAGAAAATATTGCGGCTGTATCCGCCAGTGTGACCGTGAAATGTCGATTCGCCGCCGTTCGCAGCAATTGGGTCTCTGTTACTCCACTACGTGGAAAATTTTGCGACAGGATTTGGGTGTAAAACCTTATAAGATACAGCTGGTGCAAGAATTGAAGCCACACGACATCCCACAATGTTTCTCATTTGGTGAATGGGCGCTGGCAAAGTTGGAGGAAGATCCACATTTTTATCGAAAAATTGTGTTCAGCGACGAAGCTCATTTCTGGTTGAATGGGTACGTTATCAAGCAAAATTGCCGCATCTGCAGTGAAGACCAGCCAGAAGCATTGCAAGAGCTACCGATGCATCCCGAAAAAATCACTGTTTGATGTGGATTATGGGCCGGTGGTATCATCGGGCCGTACTTCTTCAAAGACGACAATGGCCGGAACGTAACTGTGAATGGCGAGCGCTACCGTGCGATGATAACAATCTTTTTTTGCCCAAAATGAAAGAGCTGGACTTGGCTGACATGTGGTTTCAACAAAACGGTGCCACATGCCACACGGCACACGAAACAATGGCCCTATTGAGAGGCGAGTTTATCTCACGTTTGGGGCCCGTTAATTGGCCGCCTAGATCGTGTGATTTAACGCCGTCGGACTATTTCTTGTGAGGCCATGTTAAGGCAATATCTACAGGGATAAACCAGCAACGATTGACGCACTGGAAGCCAATATTGAAGCATTTATTCGTGAGATACCGGCCGATATGTTGGAGAGAGTCTGCCAAAATTGGACCTCGCGCATGGGCCATCTAAAGCGGAGCCGCGGCCAACATTTACATGAAATAATCTTTAAACATTAAATTATATCGCCCGTTCTATCGACTCAAATAAGGATTTAATCGTTTTTTTCAAATTTTTTGTGTTTTTTTTTTTGAAAATCAAATCCTATACCTCTTAAAAAATCACCCGTTAAAATCAAAGCGACACGGATAACCAGCTGGGCTAATTGTTAAGCCATTTGAATTTTGTATGGAAACATCTTCAAATCCTTACGAATTATTCGTCGGAGAAGTGGTTCGAGCGATGCCTAACTCTTGAGAACGATGACGACCGGATGTTTATGGAGTCTCTTCAACACTGGCTCGTACGGCTTCGATATTTTCATCGTTGTCTGGATAGGTGACTGGCATTACTAAGACTACCGGTGTCCACAAATTTTGCGTATAAATGTCTGATAGTGTTATCACGCGGTATGACATTAGCCGATCTCTCAACTGATGTCAAAGATATAGGGTTGCTTGATGCTTCCACTTTAAATGGCCCACCTATATCAATGTGTCATATACAGGGTGTCCCAGAAGTCGACGTCAAGCCGAAACCGGGTGATAGGCAAAGTCATAACAGATATCAGAAAAATATTTAAAAAAATTTTACGTATGTGTTTTGAAATTATAGGTCTTTGAAAAAGATATAGAAATTTCACACCCTACGGCAGTCTGTCAACTCCTGTTACTACAAATATTAACTTTTTTTGGATTTTATTTTTACAATGTAATGATGAATAATGCATCTTCAATTGGTGTCTCAACCTTACTGACAACTTTTCTCGTTCAGGAAAAATTACCACTTATTTCCCAACCAAGTATTCCAAAGTAAAACTTTGCTCAACTTTAACTGGCTGTACTGGAAAAAAATGTACTACGAGAGTTTGGCAAGTAACCTTAAAAGTTGGCGCATTTAATAACGATTCCAAAATGGTATAACACTTAGAAGATTACTCGTTAACTTATGCACAATTTTTATTTGAAAAAAAACTGATGAACATTTTTCAAAATTTCCTAATTAAACAGCGATTATGAAAACGCACAAGGACCCTTAAGGACAACTGTTTGCACAACAGTGGGCGTCAAATGCTGCTGATGATGATTTACCTTTACAGCAAATGCTCAAAGTGTTTTCCTTCAGCCGCAATGCACGCTCGACATCTTAAAAAAGATCGGGTATTAAACGAGCGAATCCACGGTTATTAACAACACAGCTGCTTCCAATAGTCTTTGCCGTAGCTCAGCTACATTTTGAATCGGCTTGAAATACACTTTTTCCTTTACAGTTCCCCAGTAAAAAAATCTAAAGGATTCAAATCAGGTGATCGGGCTGGCCACGGTATTGTACCAGACCGCCTTATCCATCTGCCTGGAAAGTTTTGATCGAGACACTCTCTCACTGAGAGTGCATAGTGCGCTGGGCAGCCATCATGCTGAAACCACATGTCCCTGTAAATACTCAGTGGCACGTCCACCAATAAATTTTGTACATGATTTTTCAAAAATCCAAATAAACTTCAGCAGTCAAAGTCTCTGGGAACTCAAACGGACCGATTATTTTACCATTTAAAATTCCTGTCCAATGGTTTATCTTGAAGCGATATTGAGATTTATCTTCTCTCATCAAATGTGGGTTTGCTACGTGCCACTCGTGTAAGTTATGCAGGTGGATGTACCCATCTTTCTTAAATGTGGTCTCATCCGACCATAAAATTTTTTCAAAGAACTGTGGATCTTTCCTGTGTCTTTCTAACATTCTACTCAGTACTCCTTCGTTTACTGCGCATCTTTACATGTTCGTGCTTGTTGATTTCGTACTGTTACTAATTTTGGATTCGTGAACTGGACTGTTGATCGCTTGTGATTTGGATTTGGACTGTTTAATTGCTCTTCAAAACAACATTTGCTTTCCTTAGACTATCTTTGATAGTGTGATTGTGCAGTGCCGCTATGTCCGTGTACACCGTACAAGAATATGCTAACATGCACCTCATTTACGGGGAATGCAGATGCAACGCTACTGCTGCAGCGAGACTTTACTGTGAGAGGTACCCGAATGCAGCTCGTCATCCTGATCATCGAGTGTTCACAAATGTGCACCGCTTACTGTTCTCAGAGGGCCAACTACCAAACCAATCACACGGTGAGGGAAGATCTTTCCTTCCTTACGAAGACGTGATAATAGGAGCTGTCGAAGAAGACCCGAGTACTTCAGTGCGTGCAATAGAACTAAAAACAGGTGTGCCCAAAAGTACAGCCCATAGAATCTTGCAAAAAAAACGTGCTCCATCCATACCACGTACAGCGTGTTCAAGCTCTTCTGCCCCGGAATTATGAGCCCCGAGTTGCTTTTTGTCGCACAATGTTAGAAAGACACAGGGAAGATCCACGGTTCTTTGAAAAAATTTTATGGTCAGATGAGACCACATTTAAGAAAGATGGGTACATGAACCTGCATAACTTACACGAGTGGCACGTGGCAAACCCACATTTGATGAGTGAAGATAAATCTCAATATCGCTTCAAGATAAACCATTGGACAGGAATTTTGAATGGTAAAAATAATCGGTCCGTTCCCAGAGACTTTGACTGCTGAGGTTTTACTTAGGTTTTTTGCAAAATTATTTAGAAAATTTATTGGAGGACGTGCCACTGAGTATTTACAGGGACATGTGGTTTCAGCATGATGGCTGCCCAGCGCACTATGCACTCTCAGTGAGAGAGTATCTCGATCAAAACTTTCCAGGCAGATGGATAGGGCGGTCTGGTACAATACCGTGGCCAGCCCGGTCACCAGACTTGAATCCGTTTTACTGGGGAACTGTAAAAGAAAATTTGTATTTCAAGCCGATTCAAAATGTAGTTGAGCTACGGCAAAGACTATTGGAAGCAGCTGAGTTCGTTAATAACCGTGGATTCGCTCGTTTAATAACCGATCTTTTTTAAGATGTCGAGCGTGTATTGCGGCTGAAGGAAAATAGTTTGAGCATTTGCTGTAAAGGTAAATCATCATCAGCAGCATTTTGACGCCCACTGTTGTGCAAACAGTTATCCTTAAGGATCCTTGTGCATTTTCATAATCGCTGTTTAATTAGGAAATTTTGAAAATTTTCATCAGTTTTTCTTCAAATAAAAATTGTGCATAGGCTAACGAGTAATCTTCTAAGTGTTATACCATTTTGGAATCCTTATTAAATGCGCCAACTTTTAAGGTTACTTGCCAAACTCTCGTAGTACATTTTTTTCCAGTACAGCCAGTTTAAAGTTGAAGAAAGTTTTACGTTGGAATACTTGGTTGGGAAATAAGTGGCAATTTTTCCTGAACGAGAAAAGTTGGCAGTAAGGTTGAGACACCAGTTTGAAGATGCATTATTCATCATTACATTGTAAAAATAAGATCCAAAAAAAGTTAATATTTGTAGTAACAGGAGTTGACAGACTGCCGTAGGGTGTGAAATTTCTATATTTTTTCAAAGACCTATATTTTTCAAAACACATACATAAAATTTTTTTAAATATTTTTCTGATAGCTGTCATGACTTTGCCTATCACCCGGTTTCGGCTTGACGTCGACTTCTGGGACACCCTGTATACTGAGGCAATCTTCTTGACGAAATAACCAGAGAACCATCATAGACCAAAATAAACTTTACGTGAATATTGAAGATCAAAATACATGCCCTAGTGAGTACTTCTTCGTCCAATGGAGCTACATGCACCGTATCAACGCCGTACTTCACATAGTAATAGTATCGAAGCATTTCTCTCTCTTCCGCACTTGGTATCATGTCTTCTTGCTCCCCGGATCCGGTACCTTCCTTTTCAATTATCAAACGCACCAGACGGTCCCCTAAACTCCTCTCTTTTGCTTTCTCAATTCGGTGTATGACTTTAGTTTGTCTTTTAATGCATCAGCTACGAGGATAACAGAAAAAGTTCAGAGTTAATGCTTTTAGTGGCAAGCTTAAGTGACCTAGTGTAGCGCTACCCACCATGACGAAATGCATAAAATCTCCTAACATCAGGGAATGTAACATTTTTTTGAATCTTGATCCACAAGATCTTCTCATGTCATACAATTTTCTATCAACGATCTAAAAAATATGTCTCAAAACAAGTTTAAACAAAATATAAACGTTGCACTTCTGCCTTTATAATTATTATTGGTCCTTTACATTGGTTGTTTGAGATTTTTTGTTATGTTTTTTTTGAAAACTTTGATTGTTCAAAACAAAAGAAACGTCTGGATGATTCAAACTAAATTTTCACAGAGCTATAGAAGTCACGTCCAAAATTAACCACTTTAATTGATATACTAAGTGACATATAAATCCGAACACCCAGTTTAAATGGTTTTATTTTAATAAAAGTTGGTGAATGTATTTATCTTACTGTAAATAACAAGTGAAAAAATGTCAGCCTTATCAGTTGAACATTCCGGTTTTTATACTGCTTTTTTTTAATTCACTAACGCTCTAAAAATGAATATTTTCAGCCGCAGTAAAGAATCAACGTTGGCGGATTTTGGTTCTTGACATCCTTTACGATCGGTTACGTGCCTAGAGTACGGAGACCTGTACGATTTCGTCAACTGAGTGAGTTTGATAGGGGCCGTATAGTGGGACTTCGGGAAGCTGGACTTTCTTTTCGGGCAATTGCAGTTAGAGTGCAAAGAAGTGTAGACACTGTGGTTAGGTGTTGTCAGGCATGCTTCGAGAAGGCCGTACGCAAAGAGCAAGGGCACTGGACGCCACCGTAGAACAACAGACCGTGAAGATTGCCGCCTAAGATTATTGGCCTTAAGGGACCGTTTCTTCTCCACTACCAGGTAAATTGCAAATGATGGTTTGCAGAACACGGAAAGACCTATTGGCATGCGAAGTGTTTACCGACGAATGAGAAGTTTTGGCTTGTTTTCATACCGGCCACACTGGGTCCGTCTCCCTTTAACTCGAAAACACCGACGTAATCGCCTTGAGTGGTGCAGATAACGGTCACTCTGGGATCAGGAATGGAACATTGTCTTTAGTGACGAGTCTCAATTTTGTTTAGGCATGCACGATGGTCGTGCCAGGGTTAGAAGCGACGTGGTGAAAGGAGGAATCCACAGCTTTTTGTTGAAAGACATGTTCATCACACTGTTGGAGTTATAGTTTGGGGTGCTATAGCTTATGGTTCCAGGTCACCTTTAATCTTCATCAGAGGTAACATGAACGCGCAGCGTTATATCCACGAAGTTCTAGAACCCCATCTTTTACCCTATCTTGACACCCTGGCAGATCCAACTTTCCAACAAGATAATGCTCGACCACATGTTGCAAGAGTCACAATAGACTTCTTTCAACATAATGATGTCACATTGTTACCATGGCCACCAAGATCTCCCGACTTATCCCCAATTGAGCACGTGTGGGATATGATGGGTAGGAGATTGCTCAATTTGCAACGTCC